AAAATGCCACGAAAACAACAACGAGCCAAAAAAGATTCCATTCGCCAAAGGCTTCACGCGACCAAACAAACAAGAAATCAAACAAGCCATCGGATCTAAGGATATTAGTTATGATTTTGAAATGAAACGACCCTCCGATGGAAAAAGCTTATTTTATAAACTGGTTCCAGATCCAACTTCAATTGATGATTGGTTGGCTCAGTATGTTGAGGATAGAGACAGCTATGACGAATGGATGGAGTTAAGAAAGAGAGTTTGTAAGAAAAATAGCATCCAATTAGAGAAAGATATTTGTTTAGTATGGCTCGAAAGAGAAAACACCAATCATCCAAGAAAGCAGTTCATGGTTCATTTGAAAAGATTCATTGAAGCTTTTTATTTTGGTATCCATGTTAGAATTTTAGATCCGTTTGTGATTAAGAAGTCAAAAATCAATACTATATTGAGTTTAATGATGCAAAATACAACATTTCATCTCGAAGGTGTCACGAGTATGATGAGGAACAAGCAGGAGAGAATGAAATACAATTCAGAGCCGCGGACGTTCTTGTCCCTATTCACAGGCTGAAAAAACAATCGAAAAGAAATATCGTGCATATGTGGAGTTACTATGGAGGACCTTTTTATTGGAAAAAAGGACAGTTTTACGTGTGGTTTAGCTCAAGGAGGTGATCATATTGGAGTGTTTTCAATGTGTAGATACAATCCAGCATTTAGAAGTGAAGAAAACTCTACAGAAGAAAAAAACATTTCAGTGGAATGGGAAAGTGATGGTATTGTTGACGTGGAAAAACTGTCCTCAAATGATTTGATCATCATTGAGAGGTGTTGTAAAATTGTTGTACATGAATTAGCTCATATGCAGCAGATAGGACATTGTGTGTGTAAGTAATTGTGAAGGTTTTCATCTGAAATCCAATATTTCACATGAATATATAGATTTTGATTGTATCATGAATGGTAGCGGATGGTTAGAGGAAGATTACCGTCAGTCCATTCATCTTTGCCCAGTAGATTTACGAAAGTTTCAAACCCTCATGAATTTTGACATTCTTGAAAGGTATAAGGCCTTACTAAGATTTTACAAGGAATATCACATGAATGAGGCTGCGCTGTGGGTGCAAGACATGATACAATATTTGACCACGAGTCAACAAGAAAACAATGGCGATGGTAGTAATAAGGAACGGCCCGTCTCCCCTGTCAATAGTTATAATTCCTCTTCCAAGAAATCTAAAATCAAGTAACAAGAGTCCTGTTGAAGCTGTGGATTCTGACACCATTTATTGAGTTAAAAGTATCTGACGACAACAAGGTGAACTACTTTAAATATGCAATCGAAGCTCTCACAAACATGACCATCAAAGACAAAGTCGAAATAATGTAGACAGTAAAACGCAAATTCACAAGATTGAACGTGCAATGCACCAAACTATGCAAACAACGAAATGCCACAAAAATCCATGCACATGACACATAAAAGAATCAACCTGATGAGTCACAAACAAATACACCACCAATGCATAGAAAATCACTGGTACTTCAAAAGGTTTTTCAAATTGTCGGATGGATTGGCTACAGCAGGAGGTGACATTTGTGCCAACATGGCAGGTGTCAAATCATTTGGATTTACTTTCGAAGTGAGGATGAGCCTAATTCTACGAACATACATGTAGAACCACACAATGAACGTGAGACCTATGGTGGCCAACATGGGACCAAAGATTGCATTTTGATTGAAGGCAGATGAAGATGGCACAGTGAAGGAGTGTTGAGAATACATTTTTTTGTGAGTGTGAGAGGAGGAGGCAAGTGTTCGCACGCACTCATGACATTGAATGCCAGATCAATGTCGGAATTAGCACATGCCTTTGGTTCGATTCAATTTCCAAAATGGTTTTTTAGACCGTTCGATTGCAAATGACATGTCTCAACACAATCGATAGGTCGTTAAAAAAACAATGTCTCCTTCCTCTCCAGAGTTGATCTCGAATTATTTTTCAATTTTAATGGAAGAATCCATAGATCAGGACATGATCGATCATCCCAAAGCAAAAACAGTTCGAAAACGACTCGGATCAACTCCTTCTTCTGGCATTCCAAAAAAGACAAACTGGACCAACATAAAGTCCCAGCAACAGCGTCCAGTAAGATTTGATTCCACAAAGAGATCCATCAAGCTCATGTCAAAATGTTGCTGCTGCTTGAACCATCTACCAGCGGAGCTGTTGATTTATATTTTCGATTTCACATGTCCCTTTTTCAAATGCTCTCGGAGTATGACAAGACCACCACTTGTTCAACATGCAGCACACACGAGCAAGTGCTGGTTCGAATAATTCCTCAATTTTTCAAACTACATGTCGCTCCGAGTGAAAGAGAAGAACATTGGAAACTCCGAGTCGTGAATGTCCATAATTATGCAGACAAGAAACGGAAATTCTTAATTGAAGATTTACTTGAAAATTCATTCATGAATTACTTGCTCGTGAATAAGCAATGTTTTTATCGAGTTTTTGTGACAGAGTGTTCAGAGAATGATTCGGTTCGCTTATTTTGGGAATTTTTAGGAATTTCTTTGCAGAATATTCATGCCATTGCTGAGACCATCTTGTGTCAAGTTCCATTTCGACCAAAATCGTGGCTGTATTTATTTGGAGGAACACACATTTCAAAGATCAATGATCACGAGCTGATTGAACATGTCATTCGCTTACAAAATAGTTCAGAACATTTTGTTGAACTGTATTTGAATGGTGGGAAATTTGGACTCAATTCTTCAATCATGGATAATAATAACAACAGATCATGGACATCTCATCCAATGTTGAATTTCTCTTCGAATGAACCATGGAGAAATTACTTGAATTTTCTCAGAAGGAAATTTAAAAACATACTCAATTGGTGCAAAATCCCAACTATATCTTTCAGGTAAATCAGACTGTGACTCTTTTACTCACCACACATCACAAATATTCGAACCAGTTCGTTGAAAGACAATACAAGATGATTGCGAAAAGAAGTATGAAACGTCCTCTTCAAATATGGAAAGAGAAAGAATGTGCGAGTTTTTACAATTGTTGTATGAAGAGTTTAAGGTACCTCTTTCCATGAGTCTTAAACAAGTTCCATGGGATCCAAGAAGTGACAGGTTCAAAATTCAAAGTGAAATTCTAAATACCACCTGTTTGGCATTTGAAACCACTTGCGAACATTCTCAAACCGATCTTTTCACAACCCTTCTCTCTTCAAATATTTTACACAACGATTCATTAACACTGGAAGAGAAAACACTTCACATTGTGGCTCTTCTCTTTTCTAATAGTGGTCTTTTAACGAGTTTATTTTTGACCTTTCGATTGGAACAATTATTTCAATTGTTACAAATGGTCGAGGAACATGCAAACAATGTTCTTACTAAAAGAGTGAATGCAAACGACTCTATTTCACACTTGTTACAACATGTCATGAAGAACATCAAACTGTTGGTTCAAAGAGAGGATCATGTCATTCAAACTCTATGTCAAGTGTTATCAAAAATATGGAAAATTTCGAACATTGACATTTCATTAACAAGTTGCTTAAATGTGTGGATTCAAGAAACATGTTTCAAACTCGATGTATTTGAAGAGGAGGAGGAATCACTGAAGACATTTATTCTCTCCACCTTTGAAACAATATTTTGTCAATTGTATTCTTTCTATCGACCTCATGAGATTGAACAAGCGATGGAACGAACATGTGAGAATGGGTGTCGTCGTCATATGGGACATGTTCTTTTGGAAAATGCTCTTCGAAATGCAAACGTTTTTGAAATTGTGTTAAATACATCGTTTCATCAACCAACCTTGATTGGTCACTTCCATCACCACATGAAAGGTTTTAAAAAACGAGAACGATTTAAAAGTCGACAGCACGAACTGAATCTTGGTGGAATCAATGAGAGGACGGGTGTGTTTGCTTACTTGATACCAAGTTGTTGTTGTAGTAGTAATAATGAGGAGAAA